ACCACTAATTGATTCTGATGATTTCATATAAATGGACTCATACAATATGTGACTTTTTGTGTCTGCTTTCATTTAGCATTATGTTTTTTTTTTTTAAAGGTTCATTCACACTGTAGCATGTATCAGTACATTGTTCCTTTTTATGGCTGAATATTATTTCACTGTAAGAATACCCTAGGTTTCGTTAGTTCCTTTATTCACTGATGGACATTTGGATTATTACCACCTTTTGACTATAGTAAATAGTGCTTCTATGAATTTTTATTATTTATTTATTTATTTATTTATTTATTTATTTATTTTGTGGTGCAGGGGATTGAACCCAGGGCCTTGTGCAAGTGAGGCAAGCATTCTACCAACTGAACTCTATCCCCAGCCCTGCTATGAATATTTGATATCTGTATTTGCTTGAGTTATGTAATAGGGAAATTAGTCCTTGGCTGGTGCAAATATTGTTTCCTCAATTCACCATTTATCTTTGACTTTGCTTATGGTGCTGTTTGCCAGGCAGCATTTTGGGGAAAAAACAAAAAAGATTATGGAGTTGAATTTGCCAGACTCTTTTGGCTTTTGAGTTTTGTGATACAGTTAGGAAGGCCAACCTTAAACTTAAAGTTGTAAAATGTTTCTCCTATCAAAGCTTCCACTTATCCATCTCTTGTCCAGGGATTCAAAATAGCCCTCCTTGCCTCCAGGGTTACTGTGGGGACCAAATAAGACAAATGTTATAAAAAGACTTTACAAAATATAAAGCAATATATACACATGAGACATGTCATCCTCACTATCAATTGAATCCAATTGTGGCACTAACTGGCTGAGTTGCCTTGTTGCTTTCATTGTGCAGAGCTGAGAAGTGAAGGGCAAAATTATTCACTGAGGGGGCTGAGGATGCATTAGTTAGTAGAAACATGGAAAAAATCTCACAAAATTAGTCATCTTGAGGGTTGGAGGGTGTTCCTATTTGACCAGAAAAATAAAATTGCTTAAACCAAAATCTATTCTAGTCATTCTTCTTTAAGTGGAGTCTTCCCCCTCCCCCTTCCTTACCAGGAAAAGGAACCAGTTCAGTGAATTTTGTCTATTCAGCTGTAATTTAAGCCTTAATTTAATTTAAGCCTTACTAATCAGTGGTCATTTGTGATGTGTTTTCATTCTATTTTTAATCCCCATTTTTAATAGAAAACTTTAGATTGAACATTGTATTGTTCATGTATACAGTGAAAAAAATATTTTACATAGAGTGCAAAAATATGTTAATGTTTGATAGTCATAATTCTTACAACTGTTCCCTGAAATAGAATTGTGCACTGGGTAGTTCTTTAGGCTCTGGTATTGGACAGACCTGGGCTTGAAAGCAATCAGTTTCTGGGGCAAATTATTTCACTACTCTGTACCTTTAAATCAAGGATGATTATAGGACCTGACTGACTGGGTTGTTGCAAGAAGTCAGTGATAAAATCTGTATGGAGGTAGGGCTCCATAAATACTAGTTCTTAGTTTATAACTCAGGAATATCTAAAAGAATTCAGGAAATGAGCCTGAGGGAATGGAATACTCCTTTCGGGGTTGGGGGGCAGGAGGGGCACAGGTGAAATCACACGGCAAAGCCCTCCCGTATTGTGCAGACCACACTTATTTGCAGAAAATCTGGTTTCTGTTAGTACCACGTGTAGAAATAAACATGCACCAAGGAGCAAGTGGCCATGCAGAGGGAGTTATTGCAGCTGGGGGACTGGAGTGATCTATAGAGGAAGGGAAAAGGGGGAGGCCATTGTGCCAGGGGACCTGCCTAAGGCACTTACCTCTTCTTTTTTAAAAAATTATTATTAGAGCTTTATAGTCATGTATAATATTTGGGTTCATCCTGACGTAATCACACATGCATGGAATTCGATTTCAGTTCATGATCACCTCCTTTTCTCTCCCATCCTCCCTCCCTTCCCCCGTTCTTCTTCCTCTACTCTACTAGACTTCCTTTCACTCATCTATTTATTAATATTTGGTTGGTTCTTTTGACTTCCAAAGAAAGGTGAAATTCCCTGTGGTATATTTATTTATGCCCATAACATGATTTTTAAAGAATTTTCTCCATATCTCTCCTTTCCCATTCCTCTACTTTGCCCCTCGATCTTCTTCTATACTATTGATCTTCCCTGTATCTTTATGATATCCTATTCTTCCTTCCTCCTTTATTTTACTCTCCCTTCCACATATGAGAGAAAACATTTGTCCTTTGAGATCCTGAGTTTGGCCTATTTCACTCAGCGTGATATTCTCCACTTCCTCCATTTATCACCAAATACCATAATTTCATTCTTTATGACCGAGTGGAATAAAGAATGTGTATATTCTTTGTGTATACCACAATTTCTTAATCTACTTGTCTACAACAATTTCTTAATCCATTTGTCTGTTGATGAGCATCTGGGTTGATTCTATAGTCTAGCTATTGTGAATTGTACTGCTATAAACATTGAGGTGGCTGTATCCCTATAGTATGCTGATTTTAGTTCTTTTGGGAAAAGGCTGAGGATACTCACCTCTTCTCAGGGGCAGAAGATTTGAGATGATGTGGGATCACTGTGCACAGTGATAGATTTCCTGGGGGACAAAACCTTTTTCTTCTTTGTTCTCTTCCCACTCCTGTGTCTGTGGAACCTAAGCCCTGGTCCTTGGCCCAACTTGGTTAGGGCCTAAAACAGAAATGACATTCTTGGAACTTCTGCTCTCTGGTCAGGCACTTTAAATCTGTGGGCACATTGTATCCTGTACCATGGGTGAGATCACTGTCATTTGACAGGTGAGTAAACTGAGGCTCAGAAAAGATACAGAAGCCACCAAGACCCCACACACAGCTGTGATGTGGGAGAGCAAGAATATAAATCATTATCCATCTTACTCCAGAATCTAGCTTCTTCCGACCTTTCAGTACATAGCTCTATACCCTACTTTTTTAGTTTCATGTGGCTTTTTATGATATTTCTGTTACTCAGTTCACTACATGTCAGTCTCTTAGAAATATTTGTGGATTTTAAATTTTCACCATGGTGAGGAGAGCTGACATTTACCGTGTTCCTGACACCAGTGGCACAAGCAGGTTAAGTCACCTGCTTAAGCTCTCATGAACTTGAGGCTCATGGCAGAGCCAGGAAGGAATCCAGTTTGTCACTTTTCAAGGAATATGGCATTAACTATCCTCCACTTTATTTTGAATCTAGGCTTGAGTCAGAGATGCTAATCTCTGAGCATATCTTTTTCAGGTGACATATGTGGCTTCTGCATAGCAGAGGGCCCAAGCATGCCCCTGGGAAGGGTGAGGCAGGAGGATGTGGGCTATGGCATCTGTTTATGAACTCTGTGACCTCCTGTCTCTGGGCACAAAGCTATAATAAGCTTTATGATTCATCAGTTGGACTTGTCCCTGCTCTGAGCAAATCCTGTGCTTTCCCTCCTGTGGGCCTTGGCTCACGCTGACCACCCCATAGGAATACCCTGTTCCACCTCACTCCTTTCTTCATTGCCTATCTGGGGACACCCATTACAGCTGCCACCTCCCCTAGGAAGCCCCCGTACACTGGATAATCTATTCAGTTCTGAGGCCAAACCAAATCAGGTATTCTACACTCAGAGAAAGACCAATGGAAGCCTATATTTATTTTGAGAAGTTTATGAAAATTTCTTTCAGGGGACAATACATGTTTGTGACAATCTTACTATGAAATTCCAGTGATCAGTGACCCTATAGTGTTTGATTCCATTTTTTACATATAAATCTTATTCTACATGAATTGCCTGCAAATGCATTTGCTTTTCCTCAAAGATTTATTGTGGAAACCAGGAACATTTCCCCAGGTGCAATCTGGTCTTACATAGACTGGTCTGGAATGCTGGTGACCTTGGGCAAGTCATTTCCCATAATTCCAGCCTCCACTTATTCATCTGTGAAACAAGGCTATTTATATCTATGTTAGTTACTTATACCCAATTTATACCCTACGATGTTGGGGTCACTCATACTTGCTACCATTCTTTGAGTGCTTTTCCATGTACTGGGCACTGTGCTAAGATTGGTTTTGCATTCTTACTTGATCCTCCAAAGAGCTTCCCTTTTCCTGTTGTTTCCTATCCTGCCATATTTCAGCTCCATAGCCCTTATCGTTTTTATCATATTATATCATTTGCTCTTTGAGTACATTTTCTGTCTTCCTGAGGCTTCTTGCCCTGCACAGCTCCAGTGGACACCACTCACAATGTATTTGGCTCTAGATGTTGTCACCAAAAATATGAATATTAATAGTAGTAACTCCTCAGCGATTGTGTGATGAGGAGACCCTTGAGCTACAGAAGGGCAGATTTTTTTTTTGTTTTTTTGTTGTTCTATTTTGATCATTGGTGTATCCTGACCTGAGAAGGGTGCTGGACCCAGAGTAAGCTTTCAGTAAATATTTGTTGAAAGAATGAAAGAGGAACCAGAGAGAGCTTGTGTTACCAGCAAAGAAACTGAGGCTAAAGGAGTTAGAAATCTGCCAAATTCAACAAACCAAGGACCTAGCTGTGCCTGTTTGCAGCCTTGCTCCCAACAGCTTTGCAAAGCTGAGTGTCCCAAAATCCTGGCATCATCCTGCAATCAAATATGGCTTGACAAATATTAATGCTCTTCCCTATGTGTATCGGACCCTCTGCTAGTCTCTTGGGTGGAGTAACATACTGTCATAAAGGTGTTGATTTGAGAGATTGGATTAAATTGCACACTGCAAAGAAAAGGAGTTTGCTTTTGGGAGAAAAACCCTTAACCCAACTGCTAATAGTTGGAGTTGGCAGGAGCCACTCAGGCCTTCCCAGACTGATCCCTTTTCTCTTTTTTTCCTGCCTCCTTCCCTTTTGTGAGCGTTTCTTCCCCTTTTGCTTGCAGTGAGTTCTGCTCTCCTGTAGGCTACAATGTGTCAGTTGTTATAAAATCCAGGAGGCGGAGTCTAGTGACGAGGGCTGTGGGGGAGAGCTAGGCCAGCCCTGCAGGGCTAGCAGTCCAGCGGTGGGTTCACCGGAGCTTAAGCGTTGCAGCAGGAAAACTTCCATCTCGCTCTCCTGGCTTTGATCCTCATTGGACATCAGACCAGAGGCGCCCAAGGAAGGGAGGATGCGAGATGACCGGCCCTCTGGCAACCTGACCATCTCCTTAGCAGAGCCTCCCAGAGCGAGCTGGGGACTGCCTGCACGACCCAGGAGGCGCCACGCCTCTCAGTAGATGTGTGTGTGTGTGTGTGTGTATGTGAGTGAGTGAGCGAGTGTGTGTGCGTGCGAGTGAGTGAGGGTGTGTGTGTGAGTGTGGATGCATGTGTGCACGGCAGGACTGTGTGTGAGCGTGTCTGGATGGGTGTGCGCGTGCACGCGTGGGAGAGTGTGTGTGTGAAAGAGGGAGTGTGAGTGCTCTTGATTATTATTTTTTCGTGGGGAAGAAAAATCTTGGAAATCTGGGGCAGGTTACCGTGCTCCTAGGGTGATTCTTCTTTTGCAAGAAGAGCTGACGAGAGCAATCTACTAGAGCCCAGGAGAAGGATTTTTACTGCTGTTCTACAGAGATTAGCTCCAAACCTGTGAAATCGACCAGAGCTGTGTGATTACCAGGGCTTGAGAGAGGACTCCCGAAGAAAAAGAGAAATAAATCAAACAGCCTGTCAGTCCCTTTGGCCACGTCGGAAGATGTCATCTCAAACTAAGTTCAAGAAAGACAAAGAGATCATTGCCGAATATGAAGCCCAAATAAAAGGTGAGACGTGGGCTGAGACTTTTCCTTCTGCTCCCTGTTCCCTTTCTCTCACTGTGCCCCCCCTTTCCTCCCTGCCATCATGAAATGTTGTTATGCATCAATAATCTTATTGTGAGAAGGAACAGTGGCAGCCGCACAAGTCCAGACTGGTTTCAACTGCAGATAGCGCTGGGCTGGGAGTGTGGATTAGAGGAAGGACAGCAATCTCTGCATTGCAGGTGTGTGAGGAGGATCCTACGCCCGACTTCAGGAGTGTCGCGGATACTCCATCATCTTGGCGGTGATATGTCACTCTAAGGCCATTTTGACAGTCACCACCTCCTCCCTTTCCCCGCCTTGGTAAAAGCCCCTTAATATCGATGTGTATATATATATATATTTATGACCTTCCCCTGCCCCTTTTTGTTGGTGGTGGTTTTGCCTCATCCTCTTTCTCTGGGTTGGAATCCACATGCATGTGTACTGGGAGGCAGCATCTTTGGGTGGCCCTTCTTTGTCGGTGTCTCTTGCCTGGCCTGGGTTGCCATGGATTAGCTGTTATGGGCTGTATTGATCCAGACTAATGCAGGCATTTAGGCATAAAGAGAGAGCTCGGTGCAGAAAATGCATTAGCTCGCAGTGTGCAGCCCAGCCACTCTGGGCACAGCATTTAGGGTCATCAGCTTTGGTTCCAAGCCAACACCTCAACGTGCAATTTGGGTTGGTAGGCGCTGCCTTACTTCCATGGTGCCAGGGAAGCCTGCTGGGAGAGCGAGATGACCTCTGGCTGCTGGTTCCAGCTTTGGTGCCATGGAGTACACATTTCTTTCAGGAGCCACTCCTTCAATCGTGCTAGCTGGGAGAAATAGGAAAAGAGACACAATCGCACAGCTCAATGCAGGCGGGCAGAATTGTCATTCAGGCCACCCGGGGGCTTCTTCCATCCTCACGTGGTCTAAGCGCAGCTTTGGAAAGGAAAGCCTGAAAGCTCCATGCACTGTGCTCCCCCTTCTCAGTGACTGTGCCCTAAGAGAAGCCCCGACCGTGCCTTTTGGTGTCCCTGTTCTTTCTGGTCGTGGTTCTCCTAGCTTCCACTCAGGATGTGTTGTGATCTCTCACAAGAGATTAACACACATCCTCAGTGGATGCTGAGGCCTGTCTTTGAGGTTACATAGGGACTGTTGAGCAGGTTGGGTCTTTGGGGCTCAAAGGAACTGAGGTTGCCACACCTACTTATAGGTGCTGCTGCACTCAGAGAGACTCAATGCCCAGGAAGTCCAGTGGCTTCCCTGGGAGCAACAGAAGGCATCGGAGCTGCCATCCAGGCTTCAGATGCCAGGGAAACTTTGGGAGGGGAGTGATCTCCAGGGGAGGGCTTTGATTTTTCCCTGTCTTTTTTCTCTGAGTTCTAGTCAAACCTGGCATGCTAATCGTTTCTGGGTAGACCTTAAGGCAAAAGGAACAGAAAACACTCCTCTTCCCTGGTTGCCTCTTTCTTAGTTTTTCAGTTCATTATCAAAAACAGTGACTGAGAATGTTTCAGCCCTGCTAAAAATTTAGAAACAAATCCTTTAGTGGTCAGGGATTTGAATTCATCTGACAACTCAATGCAAAAGCCTAGTTTCAGTCTATAGTCGAGGGAGCTTTTTTGTTTGTTTGTTTGTTTTTGGATATTGGGGATTTGGGGATTGAACCCAGGGGCACTCTACCACTGAGCTATACCCGCAGCTCCTTTTTATTTTATTTTAAACTTGCTAAGTTGCCAAATTTGGCATAGAGCCTGTGATCCTCCTGCTTCAGCCTCCTGTAGCTGCCGGAACTACAGGCTGTACTATGGTGTCTGACTAGCAGATATGTTTTATAAGACTAAGTTGGCCACTGATTATTTTGTCCCCATGAAAAATGCCAATGTAGAGAAAAGGATGTTGTGTTTTGGACAGTTTGGATTTTGTTAGCATCGTCTGGTAGGAAACATGCTTATCTCATTTTTAAAGAATTGCTTCTACATGGGCCAGTCAACTTATAATTGAGGATCAATGAAGCACTAATTGCTCTAACTTTTTTACTTTTTATCTTTCTCCTTTATTTTAACAACTAATTAGCAAGTACCAGGTAATGTGTTTCATCAGAAAACTTGTCCAAATGATTTTGTCTTTAAATTTATCTGCAATATGCTTGAAGGAATTTAATTCTTTTCTTTTAGTGTTGACACCCTCAAGACAGATCAGGATACTGCTGTGCCCAAAACCCTCTGAAATATTTTCTTTCCAAATTCTGTTTTGTTTGGACTGGGGTATACCTCAGTGGTAGAGTGCTTGCCTACCATGTGCAGGGCTCTTGGGTTCCATCCTCATCACTGCAAAACAACAAAAAATTCTGTTGGTTCATCATTATAATTAGTGATGTGTGTACAGAAATCAGTGTGCATAGTTTCTAAACACATCCCCCACCCCCAAACATCACTCCTCTTGGCCCACCCAATGTTCAGGATGGCTAGTTTGAGCTCAGTTTCAGAAATGAGGGAACTGAGGCCCAGGGACATTCAATGACTTGTCCAAGGTGGCAAGGCCAGTTTCTTCCCAGGCTTAGTGTTCATTGTTAGCCGGAACCTGAAGCTGCCCCTTGAAGGATTGATGTCAGTAGCAGATGGCAGTTTTGTGGTGGGGACTGCCTGCCTCTTGATTGAGTTCCATTGTTTACCCTCTTGCTTTTGTTGCTTGGCTCTGAAGAACATTTGAGCAATGACCAAAAATAATGCCTGCTGCCAGTTGCCGTTCTTCCTGGTATCATTTGGCCATTTTGGCACAAATAGTCCAGCCCGTTAGACAGACTTTGTATCTTGTGATTTTTACAAGGGGAACTTTTGATTTTTGAAAATAATGATTTCTTTTTTAAAAAAAATATTTATTTTTAGCGTTTTTTTTTCTTTTGTGGACACAATATCTTTATTCCATTTTTATGTGGTGCTAAAAATTGAACCCAGTGCCTCATGCATGCTAGGTCAGCACGCTACCACTTGAGTCACATCCCCAGCCTGATGTTGATTTCTTTGTAGATTTATCCTCTGTCTCTTTTTGAAGCAATTACCAACTCAACAAAGGAGAATGTTTTAAGACAGCATTTTCTCTGTTAAAAAAAAATTTAAGCTCATGACTTCTCTTGCCTCATCAGATACTTAAAACTTTGATTTGGTATCTGCAAAGTAGTAGTGAACCACATGCTTGCTTATTTCCAGTGATGGAGAACTCAGCATGTTCCTACCCCACGTATTCTGTCTGGCTCATGTGAGCATATTTTTCTTATGTTGCGTTAAATATTTCTCTCAGCTGCCTATTGGTTCTGTGGTTGCTTCTCCTTGGGGCTTCTTAGAACAAGACAGATGCTTTCCCCCTGAGATTCCCCAGTGGGTGTTTGGAACCTCTGATTATAGCCCCTGACTATGATTGACCTCATCACTTGCTTCTTTAAGATAGTTGACTACCACTTACCATCTTCATTCTCTTTGGGATTCGCTGCATCCTAGGTTGCAAATCCCACTGTCTTTGGTGCTTGGCAGATAGAATAAATGAGTGAAGCTGGCCAATGAGATGAGTTGTAGCAGTTGGTCTACCACTTCACTGACAGCAGTAGAAGAAGGGGTAGTGACAATTATGGTGGACCTGAGAGCACATGTCCTGTCTGAATGGTCAGTCATACTTGGGTTCAACTAGATGCTGCCATTTAGAAATGTAGGCCCCACCAGATCTTTCAGATATTCACATGCCGGTAATCCAGATGAGAGTTTCATGTTTTTAGAGAGGTTTTGCCAAAAGAACCTCCAAAAGAGCTTACTATCAGTATCTTCTTTTTAGAGTAGCACTAAGGTCTACATGTGATTTTTCTAGACATGATCAAAGAAAGAAAACTATCATCTCTTTATGCTTTCTGTAATACTTCCATTAACATAGCCCAAGGGTTGAATTAGCCCTTTTTGCTGCTCATTCCTTATTGCATCACATATATTATGTCTGCTATATTTCTTTAATCTACTAGGCTAGGAGTCTTGTCACGGAGAATAAATCGAAATGAATTTAATCTGACTTGTTCTTGGAGACCCTGTACTGGTTCCAAATGGAGCTTGCTTCCTATGCTAGGTGCTTATATGTCTCCCTTTACAAATCTGTTCAAGAACCTTGCTTGACAGTGACATCATGTTGCCTTCTCGGGAACTGGCAAGCTATAACTTCTTTCCTCTTTTGAAAATCAGAACAACATTTGCCTGTCTCCAGCTTTTTGGCTTGTGTCCTGTTCTCCACAGTTCCCTCAAAGATCACTGATAGTATGTGGTGATCTTATTTGCAGGCATTCTCAGTACCCTGGCTTCTCCTTCATCTTGCTGCCAGACAAAATGGTCTGTTCTGCATTTATTCAGAATTCCTATTTTTATTTCAGCATAATAGAAAATTGAAGTACAAATGCAGTGACTGATTTTAGTATCTTATTTTTTTATTATATATCCATACTAAGTTTGACCATCTTTTTAATAGCAAAACTTTAGAATTTGGGGGAAGAAGAGCAGGGATTGAGGAAGATCACAGAATATGTTTACTCATTCATTCATGGGTTCATTCAGCAAACACTGATTTGTACTTAGTGATGAGTTTTGTGAGAGATGCAAAGTAAGAGACATTTGTTGCTTCCTAAGAGTTTTCTTAAACTGGGGCATGCCTGTAATTCCAGTGACTCAGGAGGCTGAGGCAGGAGCATTGCAAGTTTGAGGCCAGCCTCAGCAACATATGAGGCCCTATACAACTTAGCAGACCTTGTCTCGAAATAATAAATAAAAAGGACTGGGATGTGGCTTAGTGGTTTAAAAAAGGGGGGAAGGGAAAGACAGAGATTTCTTAGAATATAAGAATTTCTTATATTTCTTAGAATATAAGAATATTTATTCTTATAAAATAAAAGAAGGAAATTAAAAAAGAAACAAATGAAAATCCCAAAGTACAGAAAACTTCTAACCGATCACAGGAATGAACTTA